AGGATCTCCTTCCACATAGAAGGGGCAAATGTCCTGCTGCTGCTGCTGCTGCTGCTGCTGCTGCTGCTGCAGCTCTGCTGCTGCCTTATCTGTGGTGAGTTTTGTATCTGTGCGCCCCCCATCTGCTGCTGCTGCTGCTGCTGCTGCTGCTGCTTCTATTTCTGCTGCAGCAGCAGCAGCAGCAAAGACAGCAACAGGGCGTTTCCGTCCAGCTGCTAGATGAGCAGCAGAGAAGGGTGCGACCCGCTGCGGCAGCAACCTGCTGCTGCTGCTGCTGCTGCTGCTGCTGCTGCTTTGCGCAACAGCAAGAGTAAAGGGGGTTCTGTTCAGCAGCAAAAGAGAAGCAGCAGCAGACAAAGACAAACACAGAAAGACAGCACCGCTCTGGTGCAGTCCGTAGGTGACCTGCAGCAGCCGCAGCAGCAGAGGAGGCAGCAAACCTAAGCTGCATGCTGCTGCTGCACTCAACTCCTGCTGCTGCTGCTCCTGCTGCTGCTGCTGCTGCTGCTGCTGCTGCTGCTGCTGGGGATGCAAGCTGCGGCGGTTCATCAGAGGCAGCAGCACATCGGCGGCCAGACCGCCCCCACGCCATTGCTTTTGCTGCTGCTGCTGCTGCTTCTGCTGCTGCTGCTGCTGCTGCTGCTGCTGCTGCTGCTTCTTCTCAGCAGAGCTCGCCCCGAAACTCATGTCGCTACGAAGCAGCAAAGCTATGCTGTCAGTCCACCTCAGTTGCTGCTGCTGCTGCTGCTGCTGTTGCTGCTGCTGCTGCTGCTGCTGCTGCTGCTGTTGCTGCTGCTGCTGCTGCTGCCAGTGTGGAGCCTCCGCCATTCGGAGCAGCAAAGGAGGGGAGACGCTCTGTACAGCCTCGAGGCTAAATGCTGCCTGCTGCTTCTGCTGCTGCTGCTGCTGCTGCTGCTGCTGTTGATGCTGCTGCTGCTGCTGCTGCTGCAGTTGCAGGAGGAGCTGCTGCTGCTGTGGAGGCAGCAGCGGGGAAGCAATAAGAGACTGCGGCAGCAGCCCCGGGTTCGTCGCAGCAGCAGCAGCAAGCGCATGCAGTGTTGCTGCTGCAGCAGGCTCAAAGCAGCAGCAGCACGCTTCAGCAGCAGCCTGCTGCTGCTGAGGACCCACCAGCATAGAGATGCCGCTGCTGCCTGCAGCAGCAGCAGCGAGCTGCAGATACACCCCAAACGGCAGCAAACTCTGAACCCGAATGGGGGGAGACAGCAGCAGCAGCAGCTGCTGCTGCTGCTGCTGCGGTGCTGCACTGCAGCAGCAACCCTCAGGGCTTCGGCGGGTAAGAGTCAGCAGCAGCACAGCATAGCGATCTGCTGCTTCTTCTTCTTTCCCTCTGCTGCTGCAGCTGCTGCTGCTGTCGCTGCTGCTGCTGCTGCTGCTGCTGTTGCTCCTGCTGCTGCAGCTGCACACCAACGGGATGCAGACGCGCACTGTCTTGTTGAGGGGGGCCTGCTGCAGCGCCTCGCTCCAGCAGATGCAGCTACAATTCCTGCTGCTGCTGCTGCTGCTGCTGCTGCTGCTGTTGCTGTTGCTGCTGCTGCTGCTGCTGCTGCTGCAGCGCACCCCAATGTATGCAGCAAAGGGAGCGCCTTGGTCCTGGCGAAGGCAGCAAATAGCAGACAGATCGACGGTTGCTGCTGCTGCCTTCTTGCTGCTGCTGCTGCTGCTGCTGCTGCTGCTGCTGCTGCTGCTGCAGTTTGCTGCTGGAATCTCAACAACAGCACCATAGATATCCTTTATAAATACTGTCAGAGGGCAGCTGCTGCTGGCGACGCACTTGGGGTGTATCCGCAGCTGCAGCACGCGCTGCGCCGGCCCCCAGCAACGTGCATGCACCAGCAACGACCCTTTCAGCTGCTGCTGCTGCTGCTGCTGCTGCTGCTGCTGTGGGGTTGGATGCTTTGGGTCGGAAGCTGCAGGTGCTGCTGTTGCTGCTGCTCCTAAAACTGCAGCAGCACTAGCGGTGCTGCTGCTGCTGTTGCTGCTGCTGCTGCTGCTGCCCAAGGGACCCGTGCTGCAGTTGTTCAGATCAAGCTGCTGCTGCTGCTGCTGCTGCTGCTGCTCATCTGTAGCAGCCGGGCCGCTCGCAGGATGTTTGCTGCTGCTGCAGTTGTCTTCGCTGCTGCTGCTGCGGCTGTTGCTGTTTTCAGTGCCACCGTCCTGCTGCTGCTGCTGCTGTTGTTGCTGCTGCTGTTGCTGCTGCTGCTGCTCCTTGACAAGGCTCAGAGACGTCCAGCAGCAGCTGAAACGTTTTGCTGCTGCAGCTGAGGCAGCAGCAGAGCCGCTGCTGCCGCTGCTGTTCTGAGCAGCAGCAGCAGCAGCAGCAGCAGCAGCACCCAACGGAATAGAGGGATCTGCTGGAGCGTCTGCTGCTGCTGCTAAGGGTATCTGCTGCTGCGACAGCAGCAAGCAGCGGTGCTGCTGCATCTCTTCTGCTGCTGCTGCTGCTGCTGCTCCACCTGAGCCTTCACGAATACACTCTGGGCCTGCAGCAGCAGCAGCA